AAAGACCTGGGTTTAATCCCCAAAAGTGACACCCCCACACACACATCTAGGGATCACGGGTGTGTATAACATGCGCACGCGCACACACACACACACACAATACCCTTGACATTCATTTGCACATCACAGTATACCTACTCAAATCCCTGGTGATGCCAATACCCCACAAACAATGAGACATTGCCTGGTATTCAGTGAGTGCACTTTAGCATCTAGTATTCTAGATAAGAAATGGTTTCTGTTTCTGTAGTTTATATTTTGGAAGAGGCTGAAGACTTATATGCAATTGCCAGCCAGTGTCAAGATGAGGGAACTGAATATTTTTAACCCCAAACATTTAAAACTCATAATAGCCCCTCCAAAATCAGGAGATCGGCCTAAACGCCATCTGATTTTTTTTAAACTGTATATCTGGGGCTGGTTTTGTTTACTTGCTGGCTTCTGAGCTCCTGGTGTGCATTCGAGTCTCATTTTCAAGCTTCTTTGTAGCCTCGCAGGCTAACATTTTTCAAAAAAATTAACCTTCCAACGCAAGGATTCTAGCTGCACTGTAGCTGCACGAACGTAGTGACACCCGTGCCATGCCCTACCCTCGGCGTGCTGTATTGCAGAAGGGGGTTTATGCTGAGTGGAAGTGATTTGATGAGACTGTGACAGTGTAAGCCCCCATACCTATCTAGCATCTGCAGCCCCTCAGTTTTCCGTCTTTCCATCAAACCACCACTCCCCAACCAGCACTTCCAATTAAAGCTCCCCTTCTGAATCTGGTTAATTTACGTGCTTGCCCTTTCTTTCAGTGTAAGTCATCCGGCACTCGCCCCATGGCTTCATCGTCCTTCCCAACCTCCCTGCGTATGAGGGCCATACTGCAGTCTCAACACCAGCTTCTTTGGACTGAATCTCCTCCTGGAGCTGGTCACCGGCTTCCTGCCTAGCCACCGGGGAGAGGCATTTCTTAAGCCTTGCACCGACTCACACCTCTCCCAGCCAGAGCCAAGAACTTTGCCTTAGAACAGTGGTCACCAACCAGTAGATTGGGAGCTTCTGACAGGTGATCCTGACTGGTTTGGCCAAGAGTCTATCAGGTGTCAGCTGCCCCCTCCCCACACTGCTGTGCATCTCCTGCCCATTGACTTAGAACAGTGGTCACCAACCAGTAGATTGGGAGCTTCTGACAGGTGATCCTGACTGGTTTGGCCAAGAGTCTATCAGGTGTCAGCTGCCCCCTCCCCACACTGCTGTGCATCTCCTGCCCATTGACTCTTCCCCTGGGGAGCCTCCTGCTTTCTCTGCAGGGCAGGGACAGGTGTGAGGAGGGTGCTGATGTCAAGGTGCCCCCTCTCCTACCCTGTATCCTTTCTCCACAGAGCAGAGCGGGGGCACCACAGAACATGGGATGGAATTTGTTGGTTGCTTTAGGGAGTGGTCCAGGGCCCGGACAGGGTGAACCTGCCTTAGCTCCACTGCACCACCAACCAGGAGCCACCTGAGGTAAACAGGGCCCAGCTGGAGCTAACATCTGGAACTCCTATATCAATCATGAATCCCTTCCTGCACCCCAAGGCCCTGCCCTAGCCCCGCACTCCTGCATCCAAACACCCTCCAGAGCCCACACCTAGAACCCCCTCCTACATCCCAACTGCCTGCCCCAAGAGAGCTCAGAGCCCCTCTCACACCAGATCCCTTAATCCAAGACCAGAACCTGCTCCCCAACCCTCTGCCCCAGCCCGATGAAGGTGAGTGAGGATGGGCAAGAGAGGGAGGATGGAGTGAGCAGGGGCGGGGCCTTGGAGAAGAGGTAGGGCAAGGATATCTATATTTGAGGTAGATCCTGGATTGCACTTAAATTCAGAAAGTGATCTTGTGCTCAAAAAGGTTGGAGACCACTGCCTTAAAACAGCTGTGACACGGGCCCAATGGTGGTTCTGTACGCTGTGCCAGCTACTTTTGCCAGGCCTGGCACAGTTAGCGTACCCCAACATGCTATTCTCATGGTATTGACCCCAAAGCTGGATTGTACAGGTTGAATCTCTCTGGTCCGGACTCTCTGGTCTAGCAACATCCATGGCCCAGCAGTACTGAGCACCTAGCAACGGGACTGACAGCCTAGGGGGCCAGATGGCTGGCAGTGGCTGTCGCCCGGTGCAGGGCCAGATAGCTGGGAGCACCTATGGGGCCAGGTGGCCAGGAGCAGAGCCCTAGGAGCTGACTGGGGGCAGGTAGGTGGGCTGTGGGCAGCATTTTGGCCAGGACAACATCAGGAGGGGAGCCCCGGGGAGCACCTGGAGGCCTGACCTCCCTTGGTCCAGTAAACTCCCTTGTTTGGGACCACGCAGGTCCTGAGGGTGCCGGATCGGAGAGGTCCAACCTGTCATAAAGCATAGGAAAATTAATAGCTCACTGATCAGTAAGATTCTCACATGACGTGTATAGGAAACCCACAAAGAACTGTAGAGCATTGTGTGCATGTGTGTAGGAACATGCTCCTATAATGTATTTGGCAAACAGTGCCTAAATCACACCTGCTCCAGACACAGGACTGAGGTGCTGACTGCTCAAATGTGTCTCCTATGTAAATTAGACAAGGTGTGAGCATAGGAAGAAAAACACATTTACAGGACAGGGAATCAAAGCCAAGAGGAGAGCAAGCGAGAAAGGTGTCTACTTCGCACAGGGGATGGCGGTTGCATTGCCAGAAGCCCTCTTGCCTCCTGAAGCAGGGTCCGTGTATATTGGGAAGATAGAAGCAGAGAGAAAAAAACATTTTGGCATCCATCCATTGAGGGAAACAGGGCCCAGAGCTCTTGAAATCCTAGAACGTTGCATACGTCAGTCAAGGGGTCTGAGCTCTCTAGAAATGGACTATTGGGGTACGTCTACACTACATGGCTCCGTCAACAGAGCCATGTAGATTTGTTTATTGGACAAAGGGAAATGAAGCGGCGATTTAAATAAGCGCCGCTTCATTTAAATTTACATGGCTGCCGTGCTGAGCTGACAAACAGCTGATCAGCTGTTTGTCGGCTCA